CTTATATATATGAATTAAAGCTACCTTTAAAAGGATACCTAGGTAATTTTAGGCCACTGAACTTGTGTTTCGAAAAAGATTTTTGATGGGAAAGATCCGTACCTTTGCCTCATTGGAAGATTAGAAAAGATTTTCTTGGAATTACGATTTGATTTGTATGTACTAGTCCTCCGTGCAACTTCCCACCAACCTAATAAGTCCGTAGTGAGGATAGTCTTTCACAAGATAGACATCGTCATGGCTATAAACCAACCTTGAAGAAATGCTACAAACATTAAGCTTGGCCAGGGGCCAGCTACTAGCATATCTACTTCCCATGGCTTAATTTTGCCGGCTTAATGAGGCATCACATGATTTTGTTGGTCACTCACGGCTTCTTTCTACATGCTTGTTGATTTCTATTAACCCCTTAATTCTTCGCTTTCAATTGAAGTCCCCTTATCATACAAACATTTTTCCTTGTGCCCCGTACATATAGTGAAACACGACAAAGACAATCTAGTAAAACTTGTTAAGTTAACGATGTGAATAGATCTCATATTACTAATTTTATTATTATGTTAGATAGGGATTTTAAGCTTCCGTTACTCATTGTTTCAGTTCACTTAGATGAAATTAAATTGGGTCACGATATTTTATAAGATACCCATCAATACGTGTTTCCTTATTCATTTTGTGAATATACACACGGGATGAAAGTAGAGATTGCGAAGTCTATGATAATAAAAAGTCTTCTCATTTTAAACATAGTTCGCCGAGACCATAAACTAGGAGGCTGACACGCATTTTAGTTCGGGAGAATTGTTAACTAGAATTAATAGACGCCCCTTTCTTAGTTCTAAGCAATAAGATGAGGGGTAACGGTTATTTAATGCAATACAAATTGTTAATATCATTGTTGGAGTACCTTTCATTTCGTTTGATTAGGCGAGTGAAAGGGTTTCGTGAGTTGGTCTCATTGGAAGCTGTAGGGGCAGTACCTTGGAGCTGTGATTGCAGAATTATGGGGATAGGTCTTCGGCGCACTACCTTGCGACCCAGGTGAATCCTTGTTGAGCTTTCTTCCGTCATCTGACGGTCATCGTCAGGGCAGGACACCACGCTCAACTATAATTCACCAAAACACGAAGGCAAGAAAGATGGCCGGTTTCACACCTATCTCCTTGTTATAGTCCAATTTGGTCCACTTAATTAGTCATCTCTTGTTTTGGTTAGGAATCCTATGCTTTGCCTAAATGTTTGCTCAAAAGTTAAGTTAAGTGGCTGTGGATGACAGATGAAATATGGAACAGATGCAATTGTGACCGAACAGCATCTATACTTTTGATCCTGCAATGTTACCACATGTGATTGCGTTCCATTCCATTCGCACTATGTGAATGCATTGCTCTAGAAATGAATGTAATGGGAAAGTAAAAAGCAGATTCGAGCCTAATTAATCCTACTCAGTAGTACTTCTCGTTCCCCCCTCAATACATTCCCGCAGTACGGGTGGAATGTAGCGCAATCACATGTGATAACACTGCAGGATCAAATGTATAAGTGTTTTGGGGGAGGATG